TGGAAAGTGCAAAGGCAAGTTTCAGTTGATCAAATTGTAGCTCTGCCCCAAGTCAATAATACAAAATCCTCCAACTACTTACCCTGTTTTGGTCAATAACATCGACAATGGCCACCAGCTTGCCAGCATGGGGACCAAAAGATATGTAGGCGACACGGCCGATCTCTACAAAGCGTTTGAACACCTAAAGAAAAAATAAAAAGGCAGACATAACTCAGTCTGAGAGTATATGATATTATCCAAACCTACTGCGTGAAAATGAATTAACTTCTTATATCATGACAAGCAGGCAATCATAGTGCGCGTATAACAGCACTGTACAGCTTAGCAGGCGTCGCTAATGCATTGTTTTTAACACTAGCAAAATACAACTGTGAACCTTAAAACAAGCAACAACCCAACAGGAAAACACACGCTTAATGAAACTGAAGTTATAAATTCATAAATAGTGTACTTCAAGCTATCACCGGATAGCTTTGGGCCTACACGGCCTGATAGACCACGTTGTGTTGCGGCTAGTAGCCGACAACACGCTTCGACACGGCAACAAAATTCATCACAGACTAACCAGACTTTATAAAACATTTCATTTGTAGGTTTATAAACATCTCAGTAAAGCGTGTGGAAACTTCAGCGATGTAAGAACCTCTAAATAAGACGAAATTCAAGTTAAAATTTATCCGTCTCTCATGGCGAACTCACCATGATGGCAGTCCGGGAGCAGAAAGGACGTAACAGCTTCCGGTCGGCGCTCATACGACTTCCCTTTGCTACACGCATGCGCAGTGAAATAATCACGAAGTCAGAGACAATAAAGTGTTTATAAATATGTACACGCACCGTAACTGTCAACTATAATTGAAAATACGAAACTAATAACAAAATTGTCATATTGGTGTATTTAATATGTGTTATTTACACCCTGGAACTGCTTAACCAACATATGGTTGCGTAGTACTTTTGTTGCCTTCATGGGATATAAGACGATTCCAACGTCAGCAAAACTACTGAACTCAAACCTAAATAGGGTGTTACACACCAAGGGGTTGATTACTACAGTTAACCGAGGAATAGTATCTAAGTCAAAGGGTTTCGTTAAAACAGCGAGCCTGTTGGCTAGCACAACGTCAAATTGAACAAGAGTGTTTGTGTTTACAATATTTCGTCAGTCCCTAAAGGCAGCACGAAGGTGCGGCGAAACCGATCAAAGTGCGGAAGTTCATTTTCAGCAATACGACGAGCGAGGGTTCTGCTCTCAAGCTAACAGGTTGAATTTGTTGACATTCTTAACAACTATTTGTTAAAGGTATGTAGACTGTCTTATTTTAAACTCATTTGTGATTATTTCAATTCCGCGTCGGGTCCAAAACTGTTAAGTTACATTTCGAAATATTTTACTTACCAAAAACATAAGGAGGTGAAAAATTAAATTTTTAAAGTAAGAATGCCCAAATTTGATGTTTTAGGTACATATGAGATATATTCTTAAAAGAACAAAAGCGGAAAGTCTAAAGGTTTTTAAAGCTTCCAACTACAGGAAGTGAAAACAAATATGGCGTTTTAAGGAGTGCCTCGTTTGTTGCGCAGCTGAAATTTTCTAAGCGGTTTTTTTTTCATATAGAATGTTTCCATAAATAAAAAAAATAAAAAATCTGTTCAAATATATAATCAAACTCAGACACATTAAATGTAGCTAAGATGGAATAAAATGCTATTTAGTTTTTCCTCAACCCTCTCGGCACCGTTTTATAATAAATGTAATTATAAATAAACTATAGAAGAAGCATATACTTGATACTGCCCCCCACCACCACCTATAATTTCCGGAAAAAAATGCTGCAAATACTTGTACATGTTATTCTTTTATCCTTATTTAATTCCCATAAAATGTATCTTGTATTTGCCGTGAGCGCTTGAAAACCGCAGTCACATTCCTCTTACGCAGACAATCTTACCAAATAAAGATGATTAAATTCTGAATCTTATGCTGTTAAAAAAGGACTTTTACCGTTTATGTTAATTTTATATTTTCTCTGAAGAACTTTTTTTTGTTTGTGTTATTGTAGATTTGTTTCGACTTGTATATAACACTACTTAAAAGTCAAATTTGCGTAAGACTAACATGGATACTTTCTAAGCTGTTTTAATTAAAATTGAAGTCACTATGCTTAGACTCATTATTTGATTAAGTTATTCTTCATTCTTAATGTATTTATGGTGTTTCTGTTTACAGTACTCCGTCAGTCCCTGTGTTAAGAAACAGAGTGCGGAAGTTCATTTTCAGCAACAAGAAGATCGAGGTTGATGCTCTCAAGGTAACAGGTTTAATTTATACAAACACGCCAATTTATTACTTTTATTTTCATTAGTTTAAATCGATGCAGAAATATTGACAATAACACACTTACAAAATGAATCCAAAGTTTGTGTGTGTGTTGTTTAAAATATGGTATTAAAGCAAAAGACCCTTGCTTTGTTAAAATATACTATCATTATGAAATAATTTTATAAAGTCTATTAAAATTGGCCTATTTTTTAATTTTTATTTTTCATCAAATTATCTTTGTATTTTATATGTATATCCATATATGAAGAATATTTATTTATTTGCTTGTTGTTTAAATTGACAGAAAGCCAGAATGGAGGAGTTTCAAATGTAAGTACCAGTTTTCTCTTAAACTTGAAGCTTTGTAAACTGACATGAAAATCCGTCAGTGTGACTTTAATTGTGAGTCATACAAATAGTTTCAGTATGTGACAAGTCTGAGTCAGTCCACCACAGCCGTCCCTTACAAGTTATCAGGATTTTTTTTAACATATTACTTTTACAAATAACTTTTTCAAGATTCAGCAGTTATTTTTGCTATTTAGTTTATTTGGTGTAATGGGTCATATCTTGTGAAAGGGAACTATTCAGTGTGTTTGCCCTTGGATAAATAAGTAGAAAAGTGAAAATGCACTTTTTGGCACTAGATAATAGGTGGAGAATATCATGACAATTGGCTGCTGATAGTATTGGAATAATAGACTCAAGTTTAAGATTTCTTCTAAATGTGTTTTTGAATATGAATTACATAGAATGTATCTAGTGGAATTAGATTTGGAAAGTAAACTTGAAGGAGAAAGCCCAGAAATGTGTCAGGAGTTCTGCGTGTAGAACCATGGTTCCTGTGTGTTGATGTAGTTCGGCATTTAATTCGAAGCAGTCTCGGTTCTTCATTTGGAGCTGTTCCTGGTGTCATGATTGAATGAATTATGTTTATGTCCACTAGGTGGCAAGCATGAGTTCACGTGAATGTATAAATGTAGAGAATGGAACAATAGAAGTAGATGTGACACCTGTGAGCAAGCTGTGTGAACAGACCTCTAAAAGATGCTTTAATAAAAGTATCTGAGCATTATACAACGTCTGGTCTTTATCAAGCACGAATACAACACCTGAGACATCAATCTGGGAAGAAGCCTCTTGCATAGCTGATGACAAGATACACGATCTGACCTGAATAAAGTCCTCATGATAACCCCAGGAGGGGATAAAACTAAATCCTGAAGATGATACCAGAGTGACCCTGTTTCACCTGGGACCTAACCCCGGATCAGTACGTTCTGGGAATCTGTTGCGCTTTTCACGCTTTTCATGGCTGAAATGTTGTGGACTCAAGACGTTTGGCTCTTCTTCTACAAGGTACAGAGGTGAAATAAAAGGACCTTCCGGCTCTTAAAACCTGAAAGGTAAATAGATTTTGAATATTTGCACTACACTGTTCCAATATACAAGCCGATGACAGAGTGTCTGAAAAGTAAACGAAGATGAGCAAATTCTTGTGCTGACAAGTTCTAGTTGGGCGTGGATCACAAACCCCGAGTTTCATAAGGAGTGAGAAAATGTAATGGATCAAGTGAAAACATGAGGGATCCAACCCTGTAGGATCAAACGATGGATCAGTCTCCTGGAGGACGAAGATGAATCAAATTCTTTTGGACCATGTACCATAAGGTCTGGTTAAGTTTGCTCATTTTCCATATCATAACTTTGCTTGCTTACTACAACTTGGATTAACGTGTTCTTATTTGTTGCAAAGACTTCAGCTAATGTATATTATATATGTTATACCTGTATAGCAATAAAATATGTTTCTTTGATTTTATTTGTTTTTTAAGAATTTCACAGTTGCATTTTGAACTAGAATTTTTAAAGTTGAACAGCGGAGAATTGTTCTTTTCCACAATAGAAAATCTATGGAGTGTTCTCGAGGGAAGGATGAGTTACCAGGTCCAATAACGCAGATGGACACTTTTAAAGTCTTGTCCAGGGACACTTTGACCTATGATGTAAGGAATCTGGAATTGAACCAAAACCTTCAAATTTTAAGATGACTATTTTAGCCTCTGTGCCAGGAGCATCAATCAAGTGTTCATAGAAATGAATATACTTCTCAGAAGTCTAACATTTCTGTCTTTTAATTGGTCTGATGTGATATTCTTTTATAAGACATAATTTTGGGTTTCCATTAAATACTGGGAACCTTGGTCTGATCAGGCTGTTTTGAACATGCATGCAATACAATGTGTTTCTTTTTTAAACTGTAACACTCCACTGATGGAGCCTCATTTTTGTACAATGTGACAATAATAAAGTTTTTTTTTCTTGTTTGGTAGTGGCTGTAACTCAATGTATGTATAAAATGTGTTAAATAAGATATTTTTCTATTGGACTTGAGATGAAGAGTCACTTTTGGGATGGACATTTGCAGGAACTGCTTTGACAAAGGCCAGCATTGTACAAGCTATATGCAACCACAAAATCACTGTCCTCAGAGCAACTTAAAGTGCCCAGCTAACCCACCCTAACATAGATATTGGATGTTGGGAAGAAGCTGGAGTACCTGGTGAGAACCCACACATGGACTGGGAGAGCATGAAGTTCCATACAGGAAGGCCCCTTGCTTCAGTAGTTGTTAAATAACCTTCAGAATTATTGTTATTGTTGTGGAAGAAGTTGTGAAATTTCCTGGGATGATGATCCACTTGTCCAAAGTGGATGATGTTCGTCTAGGGCGAGGTGCCCAAAGTCGGTCCTCGAGGGCCGGAATTCTGCATGTTTTAGTTTTCTCCCTGCTTTAACGCACCTGGATCAAATGATGGCTCGTTAGAAGGCCTAAGAGGAACATTAACATGCTGAAAAGGTTGTTACTACCACCAAGGAGAGAACTAAAACATGCAGGATGCCGGCCCTCGAGGACCAACTTTGGACACCCCTGGTCTAAGGACTCTGTTTCCACTGAAGCAGATGGAAGAGAGAGAAGAATAAGACCCAGAACTCAAACCCAAACTCCAGATCACATAACTGTGTTGTTGAATCTTATTGTTGATGTTCTTGTTGACTTCCTGTTGTGGGTGGAGATTTACACAGGTGGACGCAATCTGCTAATAAAAGGCCACAGGTTGCTCTGGTGTGGACTGCACTCAGGGCAAACAAAACTGAAGGCTGTGTTGTTTTTCCTTCATCACTACCTGGCATTTCCAGCCCTTTAAAGATGGCAGTGTCAACATGTGTTGTACATTATCTCTGAATAGAACCTGAAGATGATGGGCCAAACATCATTAATGGGAGGGGAAAAAAAGTCTCAAATTTATTGCTGGTTAGCAGTAGTGGTGCAATGCAACACATCAAGTTAATGGTGCTACCTCTAAGAACAGATGAGAATTAAAGTTGTTTTTTCATTATTTAAATTTAGAGGAAAAATGTAAGCTGTATAATGCAGACTTAAAAAAGCTGCTTTGATAAAGTTGGTTGTGTTTGTAACAAATTTTTTGTGGGATTCTTTTTGTCAGGTCAACGTTGAAGGATCTCCTACATTACAATGGAAAAAGAGGTAGGGCTCATATCTCTACTGTATTTCAAAATGAAAAAATTGTTTTCCTTCACAAATTCCTGATGTCTGTGATGTCCTTCGGTTCCAGATTATCTGGAATTGGTGTCAAAGTTTGTGTCTGAAAATAGACTTAAAGAAATCAGTCTGTGTAGACCAGTTGGAGCCAAACTGATCATTGGACCAGTGGAGGACACAGAGTATGATGACAGTCCTGCAGTGGTGAACGGATGGGGAAAGTTTTATCTTCCCAAAACAACAGAGATGAAGGTTATTGGCTATGCAAAGGGAACTTTGTACCCATGTGACCAGCTTGTCCTGATGACCTGTGAGAAAAAGAAGGTGTACGGCTTTGATGGAGAGGACCTGCATCTGGTGGCTTTCAGCCTGGATCAGATGCTCACAAAGGGAATAGCCGATCCAGCACTCCAGAGTTTTTATCGTGGGGAGCCCTTCAAAGACGTGGTGAGTGATTGACTGTGAATGTGTAAAGATTTATCCTGAATGCCAGTCTGGGATCCTGAACAATGTGTTTTATGCTCAGACCAAAGAGGACTGGGAGGAGGTGAAGCAGAGCCCTGTGGGGAAGAAGCTGGATGAGGAGCATCGTCAACTGGTGGCTTCTCACATATCCACCATCCTGCAGAATCTCAATATCATCAGATCAAAACAGAGGTGGGTCTCCTTTTAAGTTTGGTGTCAGAATAAGTGGTGAAACATGAAAAATGTTTATATATTTAAAATACAAACATGCTTTTTTTAAAACTTGGAAATATCTTTATTTAGTTAGCCCAACTTGAGGCATGAAAGTACTGTGTCTTTCATCTCTAAATATAACAGTTTTAGACTGAAGCTGAGCAGTAAATGAACCCAACTTCGACTGTAGTTGAATTCATAAAAAGCAGTGCATAGTAATTATTTTCTAATCTCTTACCTGCAGGCGTCATCAGGAGAATGGCAACATCCTCCCCAAAAGCAACGTGACTCAGTTGCAGAAAGTTGGAGTGTGACTAAGTTTTTCATTCATGCAGCTCAANTTGTCATGATTGAATGAATTATGTTTATGTCCACTAGGTGGCAAGCATGAGTTCACGTGAATGTATAAATGTAAAGAACAGAACAATAGAAGTAAAGAGTCTTATGTGACACACCTGTGAGCAAACTGGGTGAGCAGACCTTTGGAAAGATGCTTTAATAAAAGTGTCTGAGCATTATACAACGTCTGGTCTTTATCAAGCACGAATACAACATGGTGTCAGGAGTGAACTAAGAGCCGACCATGGAGCTGAAACCACCGGAGAGCTTGAAGCTGACGGGAAACGTTGATGAGAATTGGCGTGCTTTCAAACAACGCTTTCAACTGTATGTCGCCGCAATGGGATTGGAGACAAAGCCGGAGCCAAGAAAGGTAGCGATGTTGCTGACCATAGCGGGAGCGCAGGCTTTGGAAGTCTACAACACATTTGTGTTTGATGAAGCAGAAGACAAAGACAAGTTGGATGTTGTGCTGAGTAAATTTGATGCTCATTGTTCACCCAAGAAGAATGAATGCTATGAGAGATATGTGTTTCGTTCCCGAATGCAGACCCAGCATGAACCCTTCGATAACTTTCTAACAGATTTGAAAGTAAAAGCTCAGTCATGCAATTTTGGCCTGCTGAAGGACTCGATGGTCAGAGATCAGATCGTCTTTGGAGTACGTGATGGGAAGCTCAGAGAAAGACTGCTGAGAGAAGTGGAACTGACCCTGGAAACGGCTGTAAAGATGTGCCGGGCAAGCGAACTGTCTCTACAGCAAGTGAGGACATTTTCTGAACTTTCAACAGGAACTACTTCACAGTTCAGTGACGGAGCGGTGTCCTGCCAGAAGAAACGCCATGCTCAGACGAGGCAGCTGCAAGAGGAAGCCATTATCAGCTGTAAACGCTGTGGGTCACGGCACAAAGTGAGACAATGTCCTGCTTATGGTAAGCAGTGTTTAAATTGCCGTGGAAAGAATCATTTTGCAAAACAATGCTTTATGAAGAGGAAAGAAGAAAAGAAGAGGAATCGTGTAAACTTAGTAGATGAAACTGACTTAAGTGACACATTCTTTATTGGTGTTGTGAATTGTGAAAATGAGTCAGAAAAAGTGCAGTGTGTTGACAGAGATGAGAAATGGACAATTCCTTTGTTGATCAATGGAACTACAATTAAGTTCAGATTGGACACAGGTGCTAAGGCTAATATCATAAGCATGTCTGATATTAAAAAAATGCAAGTAAAACCTCACATAAAAGAAGTAAAGTCGGGCCTAAGAGACTATAATGGACAATCAATCAAGTGCATTGGCACATGTGAGCTGAATGTGACAGTTAAAGGAACAAAACATCTTGTGTTCTTCTCAGTTGTAAAAGAGGATCGTGAGTCACTTTTAGGTGATGAATCCTGTGAAAAACTTGGACTGGTGAAAAGAGTCTATCACATAAACACTGAATTGACTGAACCTAATAACCTTGTTGATGCCATGATTCAAGAATATGAGGATGTTTTTCAAGGATTAGGTGCTGTACCCTGCACATACAAGATCCAGCTGAGAGAGGGCGCTCAGCCTGTTGTGCATGCTGCACGTCGTATTCCAGTACCACTGCGAGAGGGGTTGAAAAATGAGTTGGACAGAATGACCAGGTTGGGAGTCATTCAGAAAGTGGAAGAGCCCACTGATTGGGTTAATTCCATAGTGATTACCAAGAAAAAGAATGGAGAATTAAGAATATGTATGGATCCAAAAGATCTGAATGAGAACATCAGGAGAGAACATTATCAAATACCCACTCGAGAGGAAATAATCAGTGAGATGGCTGGGGCAAATTATTTTACCAAGTTGGATGCAGCACAAGGGTTTTGGCAAGTAAAGTTAGATGAAAGCAGTACCAAGTATTGTACTTTTAACACACCTTTTGGAAGATACTGTTTTCTAAGACTTCCTTTTGGAATAAAATCGGCACCAGAAATATTCCATAGAGCGATGGAGCGGATCATTGAAGGCTTGGAGGGAGTGAGAGTTTACATTGATGACATCATCATCTGGGGATCAACAGCTCAAGAACACAATGACAGATTGAGACGCGTCATGGAGCGCATACGGAAAAATGGACTGAAGCTCAATAAAAATAAATGTGAGTTTAGTGTCAAAGAAGTTATGTTTCTCGGAGACAAACTGTCTGCCCAAGGTGTTCAACCAGATGAAGATAAAATAAAAGCCATCTTGAAGATGCCACAGCCTGTCGACAAAACAGGTGTTTTGCGCATCATGGGCATGATCAATTTTATAGGAAAATTCATTCCCAATCTGAGTGCAAAGATGACAAACATTCGCAGACTCTTGTACAATGATAATCAATTTCAGTGGACAGAAGTTCATGAACAAGAGTGGAAGGAACTGAAAAAATATTTGACTACGGAACCAGTACTTACCTTTTACGATCCATCTAAGAAAATTAAACTGTCTACAGATGCCTCAAAAGATGGACTTGGAGCAGTTCTTCTTCAAGCTGAAGATGAACAATGGAAGCCTGTGGCTTATGCGTCCAGAGCCATGACCAAAGCTGAATGCAGATATGCTCAAATAGAAAAAGAATGCTTGGGGCTGGCTTATGGACTAGAACGGTTTCATAACTATGTGTATGGTCTACCATCTTTTGTAGCTGAAACAGATCACCGACCCTTGGTTGCCATCATAAAAAAACATCTGAATGAGATGTCACCAAGGATTCAGAGACTTATGATGAAGATGCAAAGGTATGATTTTACACTGATTTACACTCCAGGAAAACATTTGATTCTTGCTGATGCTCTGTCTAGAGCTCCTATAGACAATGGTGTGAGTTCAACTGAAGAGAATATTCAGCGTCATGTGAACATGGTGTCCACTGTGTTGCCTGTGTCAGATAGCAAGTTGAAGCAAATAGTTGAGGCAACAGCTAAAGATACAGAGTTACAGTTGGTCATGCAGAATTTGGATGAAGGCTGGCCAATAGGCTCATGTTCACAGTTTTTCAAAGTTAAAGCTGATCTAAGTGTTGTGAATGGACTGTTACTGAAAAACAACAGAATTGTGATTCCACAAGCATTAAGACAGGATATTCTACAACGGATACATGAGGGTCACCTAGGCATTGAAAAATGTAAAAGAAGAGCTAGAGAATCTGTTTTCTGGCCTGGACTAAATAAGGACATTGAGACCCTAATCAGTAAATGTGAAACATGTCAGACATTTAGAAATAAACAGAGTAAAGAACCTATGATAATGACTGACATTCCAACATCACCATGGCTGAAAGTAGGACTGGATTTGTTTCATTTTAAAGGAAAAAACTATTTAGTAATCATTGATTACTTTTCAAACTATCCTGAAATGGCTCTATTAGCTAATATGTCATCAAACTGTGTCATAACACATGCTAAATCAATCTTTGCAAGACATGGCATTCCACATATTGTGGTTAGTGACAATGGACCATGTTTTAGTAGCAGAGAATGGCAAGAGTTTACAGAACATTATGACTTTAAACATGTAACATCAAGTCCACATTACGCACAGTCGAATGGAAAAGCGGAGAAAGGAGTTCATATTCTTAAGCAACTTTTGAAGAAAGCTGCAGATAGTAACTCTGACCCATATTTAGCTTTATTAAGCTACAGATCTTCACCTTTGCAATGTGGATTTTCACCTGCTGAACTCTTGATGAATCGAAAGATTCGTACAACTTTGCCAAGTTATGATAGTAATGAACAAAGTGCAAAGAAATCATCAAAGTTGGAGTACAAGTTACGAAAGCAGAAAGTAAAACAAAAGTCATATGACAGATCAACTAAGATTCTACCTCCACTGTCATACAAGGATCCTGTAAGGATTCAGGATCATGAGGGATGGAATACTAAAGCAACTATTCTGCAGGAAGTAGCTCCACGTTCATTTGAAGTAAAAACTGAAGGTGGACAAGTTCTGAGACAAAATTGGCGCAGTTTGTTAAAAACTCCATTAGAGGCTGTTGTTGAGTCAAGTGAAGTTTCTAAGGTCTCCCAGAGTAGTATTCCGACTGAAACACCTACGACTGAAACACCCTGTGACAGTCTTGGGGACAACCTACCTGTGTTAAGAAGATCTACCAGAGTAGTGAAAAAACCTGACAGACTGAACTTGTTAAAAAAAAAAAAAAAAGGAAAAATTGAAATGTCTATTTTGAAATTGATGTTTTTAATGTGTTAAATATAGCTATGTGGTAACTGTTTCATGCAATGTATGTTGTTCTTGGATAGGATTCTTTTTGTAACAATCTTACTTTAAAGAAAGGAGGATGTCATGATTGAATGATTTATGTTTATGTCCACTAGGTGGCAAGCATGAGTTCA